CGACCTCCTTTCTCCCGCCCCTGTGGTGCTTATCGCCCGCACGCCCTGGATTCCCCAAGCGGAGTACGGGCTCCTCAGGCAGACCTCTGCCCCTCCCAGTGCCGGGTACGGCGTCTGGGACACAGCGGGCATCACCACAGGCCTGCGTCCAGCAGGAGCCGAGACCTGTCTGGGGACGCAGCCAGCACACCGCCACGTGTGGGCTCTGCACACAGTAGGTAGGTGCCTAATCCCGCGCCCACTAGGTGCTCGGGGAGTGCTTGATCATGCACAGGGAGGGAGGCGGCGTGACTCCGATCCCCTCGGCGTCCTCTGAGAGTCTGTGACCCAGAACCCGGCGGCAGTCCCTGCTGGTGTCGCTCGGCCACCACTCCTGGGGGTCACATAGGGCCAGAGTGGGACTTCTGACCTCGAAGGTGCTCAGCAGGGACCGGGGGCTGAGAGCCTTGTGCTGTTCCCAGCTCCCTGTCCTTTGCTCAGTGAGAAGGCCCAGGTCCCCGCTCTGCCTCTGCTCTGCTGAGCAATGGGGCCCTAAGAGGGGGGTCCCCAGGCTGGTGTCCCCGGGGGTCACACGTCGCTGGGGGGTCTGGCTGCCTGTGCTGCCTCTCTCTGCTTGCCTGGTTCGCTCAGCGTCAAATGATCTGTGAACAAAACCGTTAAGTCCTCCAATTAACGGTGAACAAATCCCCCGAGGCCAGCGCTCTGTGAAGGCGGGGCAGGGCCAGGAGGCCAGACCTCCTGTGCCTCCTGTGGACGGAGGAGCATCGCATTCCAGGGGCTCTGGCTCACTTCCTGGGCGGAGGCGAGTGTTGGGGTGGGTGCTGGAAAGGGTAACGGGGAGAGGGGGAGGGCACTGTAAGTTTGGCTCCAGATCGGTGCGGAGGGTTATGTCCGTCAAATCTGGGAGAATATTTTGGACAACCTTGCTTTAAGAAACAATATTTCTTCTCTGGGATTCCTTAGAAAGTACTGTAGTGGCAGGGATACCAACAGCTAGCATTGCTGCGAGCTCACTCTGTGCCCGGCACAGTGTTAGGACATTGCATGTGTTATTAAACCCTCAATGCACGTGTGTGCAGATGGTGCGGTCACCGCTTCCACATCACAGCTAAGGAAACTGAGGCTGAGAGACACCTGCTTCCCGGCACAGGATCACCGGGTTCGCGGGGAGTGGAGTGTGAATTCCACCCACGCCACGTGGTGCGGAACCTGGCTCGCCACCCCACCCTCCTGCGGCCTTGCTGGCCGATCGGTCCCAGGTACGGATGTCCCTGTCGATGGGATGACTGCTTTCGGCGTAAAGGGGGTTCAGTGTGGGTCTATGCGTGTTCGTGTGGGTCTCCTCCAATCCTCCTGGAGCGGGGGGAGGGGGTAGATGGGGAAAGGAGCCTCAGAGAGGTCAGGAGACTTGCCCCGGTCACACAGCTGTCCACTCTGCCCCAGAGCACCGTCAGCAGATCCTGTCTTTGCCAAGCTGAAGGCGGCATGAGGGCAGACAGAGCCCCGTGAGCTGGAGGCCCAGGGACAAGGATGGGAGGTGAGGAGAGGTGGGACCACAGGATGGGGCCACACACACTGCCCGCTCCCTGACCCTGGGACCCCACATGCGCCGCCCCCTCCTGCCCCCCACCGGGGCCTACAAAGTCTCAAGTCAGAACAGAGAAAACTCTCACTTCGGGTCAACTTGGGCGTGGCTTTTTGGTGCAGAAGCATGTGGGAGCAGGAGCACGTGGCTCCTCTGTCCTGGACGTGTGGGTGAAAACACAGCAGCTTTTCTGCAGCTACTCCTGGGCCCAGGGCCGGGCCTCACCAGGTCTCTGGCTACCCCCTCCGCCACCAGGAACCCTTTGAAAGAGAGGCGATAGGAAGGATGACATCAGTAGCTTGGACTTCTGCGAGGCCCGCCTCGGCTGGGCTCGTGTGGGCCGTGACATTAGACTTGATTGAAGGCCTGCAGGCCTGAGGTTGGCCACCACCTCTGCCCACGGGGGAGCTCAGGGGATCCAGCCCAACAAGGAGACAAATGGCCCCGGGTGTTTCACTACAGGATACAAATGGAACCAACTCTCTTTTCCTCCCTTATCACGCTGCGCACGCAAAGTCGGTTTTCATTAGCTCTCCGTCGATCCCCGTAAGCCGAGTAAGGAAGAAACCCCACAGATTGCTCCCGCCCCCAAAGGGTGCTTAGAAAAAAAAGAAAGATTTATCCTTGCAAGTTCCGTAAGAAAATCTATACGTGCTCAATGCATTTAAATAACACTCATTAAAGCGGACTGCACGCCAGCTGCCTCCTCTCGTCACAGATGAGAGACCGTCGCTTGACCCTTTGCAAATCCCAAAGCATCTCTGCGCCACCTTTATTTTTCAACTGGTTAAGTTTTCAGATGGAAGCCCCAACACCCTTTTTTTGGGGGGGGAGGGGGGGAAGGTGGACTTACATAAATCCCCCCAACGGAAATTTCAGCCCGCTCGATGGGAAGATCATGACAAGAAACAAGTTGTGAAATTTTAAACCAGGGCACTAATGACATCTAAAAACACCGGTGGCTCCTCCCTCCGGCTGGCAAGCCCCTGGCCCTCCTGGATGGGATGTCTCCGTAATTACTCAGCCCAGCGAGAGGCCGGGCTGTCACGTCGAACAAGAGGAGGGAACGTGGAGGGACCGTCGTGAGCGAGGTCTCCATTCAGCCAGGAGAGGTCTTATCAGAGCCGGGCGAGGTTTCAGCCAGGCAGCGGGAGAGGAGGAAAGTTCTCTTTTCCCCAGTGTGGAGTTCAGACCAGCGTTGATGCACCGCCAGTGTCCCCCCCTCCCCGGTCCCCGCCTGGAGCCGCGGTCCGTCACTGAGGAGTGTGACATCAATGGGGCGGCGCATGTGGAATCCCCAGGGGCGGGATGAACAGTGACCCAGATCCAAACCCCCGCGATCTTGTCAGGGACATGGTTCTCACGCGGCAGGTTCCAAGGATGCGGTTTTGAAATCCGGGCCTTTCATTTTTAAAAATATGCAGTTGTTTGACATTCGATCTGACAGACAAATTATAGCTTTAGCAATAAAGGCTTTTAGGATTAGAAATGAAAGGAGAAATTACTTAAGGAAACACACACACACACACACACACACACACACACACCCCACAACACACACACACACCAACAAACCCACCAGGTCTGAGTTGGGAGGCATTTGTGTGTGTGTGTGTCGTTGTGTCTTCACGGGAACGTAAGGAGATACATCAGCGGACGAGGCTGTGACCACAGAGAATCAAGGTTGATGTAATTTCTGGGGAGACAGTCGGCATGAGGGTTGTCCGTGGGGGAATCTCACTGATTCACCATGGACACTTCCTAGGCACACCCCATTCCCATACCTAGCCGTGAATCTACCCTTTGGGGCTGGAAGAGGGAAGCCCATCAAAGCCCCTCTTTCCTCTCCGCTCCTGTCAGTGGGCTTGGACCTACCACAGCGGATGGTTGCAGGTCTGACTCTGCAATGACCCTCTGGGGCCAGCCTCTACCACTGCATCCTCCCCATCTGTGGCTCAGGTGCCTGAGGAGGATGCCTGGCAGCTTTTGGGGGAGGGGGCGCGGATCCCAGTTTCTTGCTAAATGAGGGACTCCATCCAGTCCAATCGGGCCAGTTACCAGTTTCCTTTCTGCACAGAACAAGGCCTTTTCCTAGATGCATGTCTGAAACCTGCCAAGTCAGCAAGACCCTTCCCCAGTCCCAGGAGGCTGCCAGGTGAGGGGGTTATGCTCCCCCCGTGGGGAGAAGGGAGCCCACCCATAGCCTCCGGAGCAGCTGGGACACCCAGGGCCCATTGTGTCAGAGTTGGCAACATGTACACTGGGAGGAAGTTTCTGTAAAGGTAGAGAGAGCTTAACCAAACAAAAAAAAAATATTTTAGTCTTTTTTTTTTTTTAAGATCTTAAACATAGCAAGAGTTTACCAGAATGTAGATGTAATTTTCTATAATTTTGTTGTTTTAAAGCTAGTGCTTTTTTTTTTCTTTCTTTCTTTTTTTCTTCTAAAACAAAGACAGTCAGGGCGCCATGAGACTGGGAAGGAAACCCAGTGAAGATCTAGGCTGTGGGGGTGCTGAGAAGGCCTGGACATGGCCGGAAAGGAGGAAGATGGAGTCACGAGCGAAGGCGGGGAGAGAACAGCTAGCTGGAGCCGGTGCTCCACAAGAGGCAAGGCCCCTGAGACGCAGTCTCAGGGGCTGTAAACAGGGAGGCTGAGGACCGTGCCCAGAGACCCCACTTCCTAGGTCCACCTCCCCTCCCTTCCCCTTTCCAGAGACCTGGGTCCCCCAGCAGGCAGACCGCTGGCCATGCCCTCCTGCTGCACCGGGCCCAGGCCGAGCTGCCTCCTTCCTGCCTCGGCAGGAGCAGGCCTGCCTGTCGGGAGCTCCAGGGGCCTCAGCGGAGCCTCACCGAGCCACCCTTGGGTCCTTGAAACAAACAACAAACAAAAAAAAAATCCAACAGGCTCAGGAGGGCCTGGGAGTGTCTCCTGGGCCTCGGCGAATGCCCGGGGAGGCGCTCTCATCCTATGGCACGGCGGAGGCTGCTTTTCTGGGGCGGGACACGGACAGTTCAGGTTCCCTCTGTCCGCAGGGCCGGAAGATGGAAGAGGCCCACGGGACTGTTTCATGGAGCCCGAAGGGGAACAGACGATGCCTGCTCATGCTGCACGGGCCTTGGGGGTCAGAGCTGAAACGGCCTAGGGCGTGGACAGGGTGCACAAGGACCCTGGACTGGGCAGACTCGCCCTCCCCTCCTCTTCCTGTCCACTCACGCTGCCCCGCACCCCTGTCCTGTCTTCCTCCTTCTCCTCTGTCTGAGGCCAGGGGGCCCTCCTGCAGCCTCCAGGGTGGGTGAGGTCAGAGGGTGCGGCTGGGGAGCACGGACCACCAGGAAGCACGCTCCCGTCCGTGCCCGTCGTAGTGAGCACGTGGGGAGGCACGGACGCAGGCACACAGGAAGCAGCGGGACTTACCTTTGGGGTGCCCGGGGTCGGTGAACTCATACTTCCCCACACCGATGGCCCGCAGCGTCTGCAGCCCGTGGGCGGCGTCGGTCGTGGGGGGCCCGTTGGTGGCGGGGGCGCCGCTGGGGCGAGCGGCCGACGGCTGGGCTGGCAGCGGTGGAGGCAGCAGGGGCCCCGCCATGTGACCGTTGCCCACCGCCGAGGGTCCCGGGCGGGCCACCTGCCCCACGCCAGGCAGTGCGGAGACGGCCAGGGGCTGCGGGCTGGCGTACAGGGCCTGGGCGGGCATGTTGACCACCACGCTGCTCAGTGGCTGGGAGGGCGGCTGCGGCAGCGAGTAGTGGCCCGGCATCAGCGGGAGCTGGGGCCCCACGTGCGGAGGCAGCGAGGGGGTCACCCCGATGACCGGGGCCTGGACGTTCGCGGCCGGGCTGAAGGTGGGAGGCTGGGCCACTCCGTAGGAGTGTGCGATCAGGGCGGGCTGGCTCCCCGCGGCCACCGTGGTCACCCATGGCCCTGTGCCTGCAAGGGAGACGGGAGAGATGTCACCCGCCGGTCATGCATTCACTCAGCAAGCGCCGGCGGCCCCGGGCCCTGGGCTGGGCGCCGGGGTCACCGGGGTCACCGGGGTGGACAAGACACCTGTGCCCCGGAGCTCACAGAATAAGCACCATTACAGGAGCAGGGAGAGGCGGCTCAGGATCTGTGAGCAGGTGGCCACGAGGGTGCGGGGGGGACCGCAATCTTCCTGGGGCTGGTTAAGAGGCAACAGAACAGACAGAAACATGGGCAGGCCTTCAACAGCGAGATCCGGGTTCAGAGCCTGGCTCTGCCATTCACTAGCTCAGAGCCTGGGCAGGCTGCTCATCTCCTCTGAGCCTCATTCTTTCCTTCTGTTACATGGCACTAGCAACACCCACCTCAGCGGTCTCCTGGGAAGCACGGAACGAGATGAACACGTTTTACAGCAGCCAGCAGGGGGCCCGGCCTGTGCTAAATGTCCCACACGTGCTGGCGCCTCCCCTTCCTCTTTGGGGAATCACGGAGGGGGCGGGGATGGCTGGATGGCGGAGAGAGTTTCCGCCGGGCCAGGCAAGCAAGAGCAGCTGAGCCCAATGCCGGGCGAGGGCAGAGCTGGGGTGGGGGCGGTGTGGGCAGTCAGGAGGGGCTGCTCTCTCTGTGGCCTCTCTCTGTATCTCCGGCCTGGGGGGTGGGGAGGCGGGGACGTGAGAAGGCCTTGTCGGCCCTGAAGGAACTTGTGGCTGAACAAGGAGCTAAGCTCCCCGAGGCCTGGTCCAAGAGGCAAGCCCAGGGCAGGCAGGGCAGGGCCAGGGCCCCCTGAGCGGGCTGCCATTGAGGGGACTCGAGCTGGCTTATGAGTGAGACCAGAGGATACTGCGACAGGCAAGGCCAGTCTGGGTTGCCTCCTGCTGAGCGGGTGTAAGTGTAGGTCGTGGCCACCTCAGCCTCCCGGATGCCTCTGGACGGAGGGCGAGGCCCTGAGGGAGAAGGGTGGGCCACCAGCCCCAGAGGCTAGAAGCTGGGGCTGGGAGCTCCCTCACAGAAAGAGAAGGATCAAGGCGGCAGGGCAACTAGCACACCACCAGAGGGCGCTGTCCCCGGGGAGCGGCCCACAGGGAGAGCCACCTGGCATGCGGAGCACAGCGGGGCTTAGAGCGAGGCTTAGGCCAGCTGGCCAGCGCGTGAGGCCTGAATCTGCCCTCGCCAGCTGAGTGGCCTCAGGCACAAGCCTCCCCGAGCCAGTGTCCTCCTCTGCACGGGGACGGGAGTGACGCCAGCTCTGCAGGGCTGCTGCGGGCGTCGGGGTGACACGGAACGAGGCACGTCACAGCTGTGCAACCCACAGCGCTGACCACGGAGAGGCGGGGGGAGACGAGGAGCTGGCTGATGCCGGTGGAGCAGCGCCAGCAGGAGTCTGGGAAGGGCTGGCGAGGGGGGACTGTCCCCCAGCCCGGGGAGGAGGAGGGGGCGTCACCACCAGCCAGCCTGCTGCCTCAAGGACCAAGCACGGCCTGCCAAGCTCAGTTTTCTCCGGGGTTAGCCAGGGCGCCCGAGAAAATGCCCCAGAACTTCCGAGCGCAGGGGGGAGGTCTCAGCTAGCTCTGTGGGAAGATCCAGTGGCTATGAGCGGGAGGGGGGGGGGGATCGCCCAGAGGAGGCCGAGACCTGGAGAGAGGTGTCTGGTGGTGTGAGCCAAACTCTGCTCACCTGCTCCTGAGGATGACTAAGTCTGCAGGTGACAATAGCGGGAGGACGAGGCACGGGCCAGCAAGGAGAGCAGGCGCCTCAAAGATACCAGGGCCACGAAAGGACACGGACAAGGAGGCCTTCTGGCCCTTGGGCCTCCGTCCCCTAGCTGCCTCGCCAGCTTGTGAGGCGATGGCCGGGGCCAGGGCAGCCACAGGCCAGTGCTGGGCTCTTACTGCGGGGACAGCATGTGATGCGGCTGCCAGCAGAGCGGAGGGGACACGGGCTGCGGGGAGCAGAGGGGAGGGACACGGGCTGCGGGGAGCAGAGGGGAGGGACACGGGCTGCGGGGAGCAGAGGGGAGGGGACACGGGCTGCGGGGAGCAGAGCGGAGGGGACACGGGCTGCGGGGAGCAGAGGGGAGGGGACACGGGCTTCGGGGAGCAGAGGGGAGGGGACACGGGCTGCGGGGAGCAGAGCGGAGGGGACATGGGCTGCGGGGAGCAGAGCGGAGGGGACATGGGCTGCGGGGAGCAGAGCGGAGGGGACATGGGCTGCGGGGAGCAGAGCGGAGGGGACATGGGCTGCGGGGAGCAGAGCGGAGGGGACATGGGCTGCGGGGAGCAGAGCAGAGGCACCGGGCAGGCCCCACACGGCCCTTTGTGCTGCGGCCATGGGGGGGGGTGTCACTGTTGAGCAATGAGATTGGGCTCTCCTCTGGAGGGAAAGGGACTGGAACGTGGGCTCCGGGCGGGGCTGAAGAACGTGGGAGTTTATCGCACAGAAGACTCGGAGGGGGAGGAGGGGGCTCTCCAGACAGCTGCAGGGCTGAGGCATGGAGGGTGTGTGCATCCTGAGGGGTGCGGGGCCGATGGAGATAGCGTGGAGGCTCTGGTTGTGGTCCCAGCTGCCCAGAGAAGGCCTGGCCTGCGGTAGGCAGTGGTGCGTGAACCCCCGGTCCGGGGAGGGGTGTGGGACCACTGGCAAGGCAGAACTCACTGGAAGGTGTCACCTGAGAAACTTGTGATGGATCAGGGTACTGCTGTTTGGGAATGACTATTCAACATCGCCCAGAGCCCACTCAGAGCCACTCCCACCCTGTCACTCTCACCCCCTGCTTTCTCCCAAAGGCTCTCTTGAGCAGCAGAGGAAGGGGATAGAGACATAGCCACTGCCCAGGGAATGACACGCAGTGCCCCCCCCCCATCCCCTCACTCAACACAGTCCGGGGTCCAGGCCGCTGGGGGCCCCTGGGTCAGGACCTGCCGAGGGGCTGGGGTACCCCGCAGGCCCCCAGCCCCTCTCCCAGCCCCGGGCACAGGCGGCTCTGCCCCCGGAGGAAGTACACACCTGGATTGTCGCTCTCCCTCATCTGTTTGGAGGGCGGCTCGTCGGTGTCCCAGGGCGTGGCCTGGTTGATGGGCGTCTGCCCCCACCGGATGCTGGTTGTGAGTCCCTGGGACTGGCCATCGGCTTTGGAGATGCCGGACGCCTGCGGAGAAGCAGAGCGGGAGGGTGAGCACAGCCGGGCAAGGCTCCTGCCTGGGGCCCGGGTCCCCTCCCCTCACCCCAGCAGTCCTGCCGCTGCCCGAGCCCCGGGCCAGCCCACGGGGGAGCGACAGACACTGTGGTCCAGCCCTAGCAGCCATGGCTTCTGCTAAACTCCCACCTCCGGAGCTGGGATGTCCCCCAGCCCCCGGGGCATTCACAGACTGTGACAACACCCACAGGCACGTGCTGAGCGCCGACTGCATCCTCAGTGCAGGCTCCTGGCCCTTTGACACGTGAGGGAGCGGCTCTCCAAAGCTCAGCTCCCAGGCCCCACCTTGCCCCACACCAGCCAGAGGCCCCGGAAGTCCCACTTGGGAGGAGATAGGGGTGGTGGGACGGAGGGGGCGGGTGGGGGTCGTGGGAGGACAGCTCCCATCCTGCTGCCAGGGGGGAGGCAGGCCTCACTCTCTAACCGAGATCACGAAAGAGAAAGGAACCTCAGGCGAAAGCAGCCCTGAGGGCGGCGCTGGTCTCCGAGCCTCAGCCGGATGACGGGATGTCCTGCGATCGTGAAAAATCACGTTTCCCGAGTGTTCTCAGAGAGACGACAAAATGCGTACGCTGGGATGCTACACCAGAGACGCGGGGCCCGGGGGACACAGCTATCCCCCCACCGTGGGAGCAGTCTGTCCGCAGGGGAGCTGTCCTCGGGGGAGAGGGTTCGGGTGGCGCTTATTCCCCTGCCTACACTCCCCTGAATCTGCCAAAGGTCCTGCTGTGGCCGTTACCTTGTCGCCACTACAATGCAGGGTGGGCAGGCGCAGGCGTACAGACGTCCCCGGGGAAAACAATAAAACAGCAAATGAAGATCAGCACAAGAATAAGCGCTGTATTTCGCAGACTCACTCCTGTAACCCTGCTTCTGCCCCACCCTGTATAATAAGCAGTAAATAACCAGCCAACCAACCTAACAAACCAACAAACAAAAACCAAAATAAAAATCCAAAAAGCAGGTAGGAGAGCCCGGGACTGAGATCACTGGGACGGGAGGAGGTGCGGGTCTCAGCAGAGGTAGTTTCAGGAGCGACCGCGGTTCCCAGGGGTTCAGCCAGAGTCCAACAAGTTTGGGGGTGAAGAGCGAGGTGAGGTGGGGGACAGACACAGCTGCCCGTTGGAGGCAGTCACCAAAGGCAAAGGAGCCCCCAGGGGTATCTGCAGGCCTTTCTCAGCTGAGCCCATGGTCCCGGTGATTCTGAGGGAAGCTGACCCTGTGCCCGGGCTGGTGGGGCAGTGCCCCCTGCTGGCCTCTCTGACAGGAGGTCTCTGAGGCAGGGAGGGCAGGGCTCTTCATGGGGCTTTGAAGCCTCCTGGGGAGGACCCCAGCCTGCACGGGGCCGCGGGGAGGAGCGGGGCCACATCCCATGAGGCCCCTCGCTGCACGTTCGTTAGCTCTGGCCTGTGCTTCGGAGGCTTGGCGTCTGAGAACAGAGCGGCAAACAAAGGGAAAGAGGACAAGCTTCCCAGGCGGAGACTCCTGCCCCACTGCTGTCTGTGGGACAGGTGGGGGGTGGGGGGTGGGGACTTAGCCACATTCTCCAACAGCCTTTGGGAACGTAAGGAACAGCGTTCTCTAAATAAATAATTTAGAACCTCTTCCCAGGTCCTTGGGGTGCGGGTGGGTTCAGAGGCTCACAGGTTGCTTCCCCGTAAGCAAAGGCATTGAGGGAGGATCCTGTGTGATGTCCCAGGCCGGGCTTGGTTCTGAAGGTCCTGGGGGACTGTGCGGGTCCGAAGCTCCAGCTCTGAGCCTCTGCCACGGTCCGGAGTTCAGAGCTCCGAGAGTCACCAAAGGCTCCCCAGGGCCACCGAGGGCTCAGTTTGGGATGACTGTTTGAAGGCAGACACCCCCGCCTCCTCACCAGCACCCTCCTTCCCTGGTAAGACAGAAACCCTTCCTGCCAATAGGGGGCGCTGCAGCCCCTTTGCTACCCTGGGTCTCTGTGGTTCTCCCAGGCCAGAGGCAGGGACCTGTCTCACTTCTCACTTTCAGAATCAGTGTCAGGGCCCTGCCTGGTCCCTTGGCAGGGAAGGCAAGGGCCAGGGCCTGGCCTTTACAGCGGGCGTGGCTGGGTTCCCCCAGAAAGAGGGGGAACCAGATTCGGAGCTCTGCAACTTCAGGAGTCCCAGTGTTTGCCCTGATGTTGCTTCCAAAACACTCTGCCAGCTCAGTCGCCGGTGCCTTCATGGGTGGTTGGTTAGTTTCACAGAACTGGCCCCTGTCCTGTGCCCAGCCCTGCCCGAGGCCCGGGGCCACCCGTCCCAGCAGGGGGAGCACTCGGCACCTACGCAAACAGTGGGGACTCAGACGCCAGAAGGAAGCTGGGGTGCAGGGGGTTCTGGGGTGCTGGGGGAGACTGGGTGGGGTGACAGCTCGTTTGCTGTCTGGCTGTGTCTTTCACGAACATCTGTACAGCCCTGTGTTCTGCCGGGAGAGACACAGAATGCCTTTCTGCTCCAGGGAAGGCCACTCGCCTTCTCCCTGGGGCCAGTAGCTCCTACACGAGGGGCAACCTGCAGCCGTCCAGGAGTTTGTATTTCTTTTATTCCAAGAGGGACACGAACATTCTGTCCTCTGCTCCCTCCGGGAAAAACACGGACATGGGTGTGCGGTGCACCCAGGCCTGGGCGTCCAGGGCCCTTCCTCCTGCAAAAGGCCCAGGTCCGAGGAACGTGTGGTCGGGTTCCGAAGGCTCTGGGGGACTGTGCGGGCCCGAAGCTCCGGCTCTGAGCCTCCGCCATGGCCTGGAGTTCAGAGCTCCGAGAGTCACCAAAGTAAGGTGACCAGACGTCCCGCTTTTGGCGGGATAGTCCCGATTTTTAACAATTTGTTACATCAAAGGCCCCCAGGGCCAAATGTCAGAATTCTGGATCCCACTGTGTGCCAGGCTTTTGCCCTGCATTCTGTGAGAATGCCACGGACACAACCAGGACAACAGCCCGGGGCGCATGGGAGGGGGGAGAGGCGGGTGGGGGTGAGTCTGCGAAATACAGCGCTTATTCTTGTGCTGATCTCCCTGACCTCCTGCCACTGCCACTGTCCATCCGGGACATGAAGCCGCCGGACACCTGGCCTCCCCCCACAGCCCTGGCCGTGCTCTCCCCGGCGACACGATGGCCCTCGCAGACAGAGGCCGGCGAGGCCAGCTCCGCTGCCCGGCACCGGGAAGAGGAGGCCCTCTCTGCTCATCGCCCAGCCTGCGCGGGACTCTCTCCGCTCCCTGTTAATGAGATGCTAATGGCATGCGTCATTAACGCAGCAGCTTTTAAACACGAGCTCTTGTGCATTTTCAAAGGTCACATTTTTGCGGTGGCTGACAGCATCCCGCTTCTTTCAGCGACCGAGGAACACCAGAGACCCCGCTCCGGAATGGATGGGACTCTGGGAGGCGGCTGCGCGGGGCCGGGCGCCTGCGGTGGGGTGGGGGGCGCAGGGAACCTCCTCCTGCAGGAAGTCCCCGGGGCGCCTGGCACATGCTCTACCGGCTCCTGGAGAGCCAGTGACACGCTGCCCGCCTGCCCTCAGGCTGCCCCGGGCCTGTGCCCGCAAGGCGGTGCAGTTTACAGAGATGCCTGGCCGAGGGGCGAGGGGCTGACGCCGCGGGGGACGCAGAGCCACGCTCCCTCCCACAGAGCGCCCCCCCACCCCTGCTCACCGGGCTGTGCACCCAGGAAGCTGCTGCAGCCCAGAGGGGCCGTCCTTTCTGACGGGTTCACCCGGAGGGAGCACCCTTTCCTACTCTGCACAGAGGTGGCTGGCATACGGGCCAGCGGGGTCCAGGGGTTTGAAGGATGAGCTCCCTGGGGCCCCTCACGTGTCTTGTCTCTTCCAGCTCCTGCGCCCCGTGCACAGCATCTGTGGCAACAGCTGGCACGCTGCCTCTCCGGGCTGTGCTGACCCTGCGCTGGGGGGCCAGCTCCAGGAGGGGGGGACCGGGCACAGTGCCCGGCCCAGTCCGTGCCCACGGAATGAATGCAGGGCCTGCGGGCTACAGTGCTGGCCACAGGAGGAACGTGCCTCACTGAAGGTCTGAGGCAGGTGCCCATGCATGGAGCGCACTCAGGAGGAGTGAGCGACGTGAGCAGCCGAGCAGGGGGGTGAGGCGGCAGGTGTGTTTGGGCAGCCTGGTGCACTGCGTTCCCCTCATTGGGGAGACAAGGTTTCCAGACTGTGTGTGTGTGTGTGTGTGTGTGTGTGTGTGTGTGTGTGGGTCTGGTGTGCTGGGACCCCAACACCGCTTCCCTGGAGGTTGCTGGAGGCTGCTCGGAGGCCTGGTGCCCCAAACCTCTGCCCCTGCTCTTGTGCCTGGAATTGTAGACGGCGGGGGGGGCCGAGGTTGGTGCCCACCTCTGGGGGCATCTTCTGCAGAAACCAGAGCTCAGCTCAGGAAGATCAGAAGCTAGTGAACCTGCAGAGCCTGGGCATCACGGAAGCGATTCCAGAATGGACCGGGTTGGTGCTGGGCCCCCACACGAGGCAGGATCCAGTAAGGCTGATGGATTCGGGCGGAGGTCACCCCCAAAGGATCCCACAGCACAGTTATTGTGTTTTCAGCCTACGCACCTCTTGACAGAGCCGGGCTCACGTGGCCTCCTCGGGGGGAATGACAGTGCCAGCACCCGGCACCCCTCCCTGCCGACGAACCGGCAAGCCCTCCCCCTGCTGTCACGTGGGCGGGGCTGGCAGGGCCGGTGGGGACTGCCTTCTGCCGAGTGTCACAGCCAGCCCACCCTTCACAGGAGCAGCCCTTCCCCTCCGGGAGGCCTCACGGTGGAGGAATTGGTGGAACTGGTCAGACAATGCTTCTGTGCCCACGTGGGCCGGAAGCCCTGTTGGGCACCAGACGCAGTGATGGTCAAGGCTTGCCTCTCCCCCCTGAGGAATTTACACCGGCGGCAGGGGACACACCCGCACCGAGGACCCGCGAGGATGGCCGGCCGGGA